CCAGCCTTCCACTTGTTTCTAAACTAAATGTATATATAGTTAATTTGTACAGGCTTTATGTCACCTATAAAAGACACCACCCTTATATATATCAAATCCTTTGTGAAGAACGAACACGAATGAGTGGAGGAGCTACGGTAATGTAATAGAAGCACAAGCAAGAGATGGACCCAACTTTCAGTCTTTAGAAAGTATATATTTTCCTTTCTTTTTAATTATGAATCAGTTGTGCCAAAAACTTGGTCTGGTATCGTTTAGGAGTTTTTCTTTAAATTTAAACTATTTCTCTGATTGTGAGGGAGACGAAGATGGAGGACAAGAACAAGAGCAAAAAGAAGAAGAACAACAGCAATAACAACAAGAATAAGGAGGAGGGAGAGGAAGAGGGAGAGGAGGAAGAAAGTAGGAGTAGGAGTAGGAGGACAATAACAGCAACATGAAAACGATAACAACGTTTGGATTTCAGGAAGAACTCCCATCATGTTAATCTCCTGATCACAGACACAGCCAATAATACAAGAACGAGAATGAACAAAGTTTTCGAAATAACACAAATCAAAAGATATTGTGCCATATGTGCTGAGCACACTCAGTGGACTACAAAAACCAAACCAAAATAAAACATACCAGATAAAAATCACAAAGTGGCATGCTGGGAAAAACAAACTTTCAAATGCATGCCACATCAAAAGAATTCCAACCACTTGTGCCTCCCTTATATAAATTAAATTCCGATGTTCAGAATGTGCGGGAAGCAATTTATGTGAAATATTATCATTTTTATGTGTTCTGCCACCAAATTTAGATGGTCACATAACACTGTTATGTAAAAATACGTTTTCATAATATCAATTAACATATTTAAAAGTTGAGTCACTAGTAAATCCGATGATTTAAAGCGAGTGAATCTACACAATTCTTGGCTTCTGATCCCATTTATAATTAGATTTAGAGATCTACCCATTTAAAATGCTGATTCTGAATATTTGAAACCCAACATATCAACTGCCAATCCAATATAGATAAGATGGTTAAAACTGTTTTAATACTCTTGAAAACATTAAAGCTTATTCAAAACCAGCAAGTGATTAGCATGGTTATTGTCAATTAATTTAGTTTGCGGTTATTCTGCGAACCCACCAACGTCTAAGGTGTCCTTTCCGTTCTGTGTGACAGGAGATCTGTCCTCTGACGGCATTTTCTGAAGGCGACCAAATGCTTTTGATGGGATGTCTGCCTTGGAGTGCAAGCCAGAAAACCTCATTTCATCGTCATCAGCATTGTGTCTTCGCTCTGGATCTTTTGATCTTCTAGTTTTCTGCGTGGGTTCTGTTGTTGGTAGACAAAGAAACAACCTATACATAAATATTTACTGTATGTATTTTCAGCCAGTCTTTTTGTGGCTTTCTGTTTCTGTCGGTAGTTCAGACAGCGAGTACATTAGGGCTGTTTGAAGGTGCCGAGGCAGAGAAAGTTGGTATTGAGGCTGCTTCACTTCTTCGAGGCTGCTGAGGCTC